AAAGAAAGGACAAACCTTTCAGTTCATAACATTACAACTAGTCCAAATCTTTTGCAATGGAAGGCAGCAAAGTATATAAGGAGAAATGTGGGTTTTTTACAGTTCTATATTATACAAGCAGGAAAAGCAATGTAGAAGGAAACAGGGCAATCAGGCAGAACAAGCACCCCGGTATTTTGAAAGATTTAAAAATCAGTAGAATTACAATTTACAAAACTAAGACTATGCTTATTCAACCAAATTTGTCATTCTTAGCCATAGGTATTTGAACAATTTAATAAATGCTCTGATCAAGGGACAGATTTGTGTCGTCTCTTCTTGTCTACGTCAAGGGTCTGGTTTTGGAGGAGTTATCTGTCTGGTAAACTGGATCTTCAGTTATTTACTGTTGAAGCTATGGAAAGTAATTTTAATCTACTTTATTAACTGAGGGTTAACAGAACTGTGATGGTAATAACAGCTTCTTTAGTGATTGTTGCTCCCGCTGTTATTCAGGCAGGAGGTGGGCACCTGTGGAATCACACTGAAAAAAGGATAGAACTGCTCACAGTGTTTACTAAAGAATCGATATGATTCTGCTCTTACTGAGTGTCACCTGCTTGAATGTTTTCACACAGATGCATTTCAGCTCTCATTTTCACTCTTTGAAGAACAGATTTTTTTCCTCATTTTATCCATGTGCGATCCTTCTAAAATGGCTCCTTCACTAGGTTGTAGTGGAATACATCTACTTCAGCTCTTCCCAGTTCTTTTAATTGATTGAGTGCTCTCAGTGTTATTAATACCATAAAAAAGCTCTTTGTCATTATAACTCAATTTAGAAGTGCTGACCAGTTAGTTAAATTTAACAGCAATAGGAGTTATCCCATTCATGTTCATTATAACACCTTCCATTATAACTCTCTTTATCATTACTGAGGACTAATTTAAGTTAATCAACCTTAAATATTCTATATAGTATTTCTTGTTAAGCATGATGTTTTTATTGAGATTTCTGGAGAGATGAAAAAGAAAGGCAACGTGATAAAATGTTGGAATTGTCTGCCTGGGGAGGTGGTGGAATCACCATCCCTAGAAGTGTTTAAAAAAAGACTGAATGTGGCACTCAGTGCCATGTTCTATTTGAGGTGTTATGGCATGGGTTGGCCTTAATGATATTGAAGTTCTCTTCCAGCTTAGTGATTCTCTGATTCTATGATTCTGTAAGGCAGGTTCCTGTAAGAAAGTATTGTGATTATGTTGTTGGGTTGGTTCATGATCTATATTCAAGAGAAAATTAGCTATGTTTTTAAAATTTTTGCTTTGTTCTGTTAAAAATATATTTTTTCAATTGATTGTGTGTCTCTTTTGCATCTAATTTACTAGGAATCATCTGGATCTCCTCATTTGAGATTGGTTGATAAACTGGCACCAGACTGCATATATAGAATTGTTTGTGGAAAGAAATGAGGAATATTGCAAGTAGCACACTGATGTGGTAAAAATAGATGAATAAGGATTAAAAAAAAATTATCTTTATCTTGTGATGCAAGCATGAGTAGCAGTATCAGACTTCAAAGTAAAGAGAAGAGAAAAAATAGGAACAAGATTGCAGTGTAAATACAGAAGGTTAGAATAGCAATTACCATGGGAACATAGGTGTGATTAATAATCAAACATATGATATGGGAAAGACAAGGTGAACAAGGGCACAGTAGCCACACCATTTTCCCTGAAGAGTTGGTTGACAGCTCTTATGGAATGAAGTCAAAACAAGATCTGAAGTCTGCATCATAAGTTTTTTGACATTCTGAACCTGATTTAAATATTTTGCATTTGCCCCACAAAGAGATTCAGTGGCTGCTAAGAAAAATGTTTAAGTCTCCTACAGTTCACGTAGAGAACTCTAAAATTCAATTTCATGAGGATGTTATAAGTAACTGTTAATATACTTGAAATTTCTGCTATTAGCTGTTGTACCTTTGCTAGAGGAAAATAAGGAAGAATTATCTGCTTTCTCATATGACAGGTGATATTTTGGAAATATTTTGCTTAGATATTTAGTATGTTGCATTTTTTTCTTCAACATTAAAATATTAATCTAAGGAAACTTAAAGCCTACTTACTGAATTTGTTGTGGTTTTGAAGTTTTTTTTGTTTAGGGAATAGAATACACATATTCTTAGGAAACTATCATCATTAATTTCTCTACTCAGGGAAAATTTATGTCATGCTAGAAGAAAAAGCCCTTAGTTTATGTAATTTAAGGAGTAAAATGCTTTTGCTGATATATGTTATTTTCATTGGATAATTACTAGGAACTCCACTGCCAGTAAAGCACTTTTGCTGATAGTGGCTTGACCTAGATGGGGATTTCTGCACTGGTACATGCATTTCTTGAGTAGGCTGGGGATGAAAAACTCCTTTTTCAGTTTTAAAATAATTAGTTTCCTTCTACATATCTTCTATCAACTATTTGTGTCTTGAATGCATATACTATTTTACCTTTATGTGTATTATATGTTTTAATTGACAACAGTTTTAACTCTAAAGAGCTTTTTCAGAAGAAAATAAAAATGTTGTTCAAAATACTAATTATGAAATTTTCCATAATGGAATATTTCAAGCTGGTAGTCTACCTGTGTGTGCACATAGACATGTATGCATATATTTATATATACACACATACATGGAGATATATGTATATATAAATATATATCTCTGTGTGTATATACAATAAAAGGTGTGGGGGCTTTTTGTCTTGTCTGCTGTCTTGCTTCATGAGAGTAAATGATGTCTTAATCTGTTTTTAGACATAGATTTTCTGGGAAGGTAGTATCCACATGCATCAGATGAGACCTCATTTAAATTCTACACATTTTTAGCCTCTTTTATTAATTCCTGATTTGAGATTAAAAAAAACGTTTAACTACTACAAATTTCCTTTGGCATGCCAATATTCAGTATTCAGGTTATTTCTAAGTCCTTGGTTGTCCCTGGAATGTTTGATAATTTTCTTCTTTCCCTACACACTTGTATCTAAATATATCTTTTAAAAATATTGCAATTATCTTTTGATCTTTTCTTACACCAAAGTTTGCTTTTAAAAGAAAACCTCTTTTCCTACTCTCTTGTATTACTTCCGTCCTTCTAGAATGCAATCCCTGATTTTCAGAAGAAGAGACTGGGTCACACATACATAAAATGCCACCATGCAGAGCTTCCCTTTCCCTGTGGCTGTCGAGTCTCAGGTCAAATGGTCATCTGGCATTTGTGTGCTGTTGTTGAACCTCATTATTGCTGCACGTCTGCTCAGTAAGACAAAGGCACTGCCTGGCTGTGAACAGTTTAATGTGTTAAACAGGGTTCAGAGGGCTGCAAAGTGTGCTGCACAAAATGGAATGTATAAACTGGTACTTAGATGTAGTACAGAAGTGTGCAATAAAATTCATAACTGTGAATTTTACTAAGTTTCGGAAAATGCGATGTGAGTTCAGGGACAAAGTCATGTCTGACTACTTAGATAATAAGAACTCACTGAAACAGTTATGTGGAAAAACTCTTTTGAGATTTCTTTTAAATTAATATTATAAGTACAGTAGAAAAAAGTAAGTTAATATTCTTTCTGTGTATTTTAATCTCTTTTATCTTCTTTCCTGACCATTAAGTTATAGTAGTTTTTTTCCTATAAATGTGAAAAAAAATTTCATCTGAATTCATCCTACGATTTCAAAGTGAAAATGTGTTTGAGAAGACAATTACATATTTCTTCCTTAGTCAAGAGCTAAAATTTATATTTGAACTCTATCAGATTGGAGAAATACACTAGCTGGAATTCTAGATACTTGCAGTCCATCATACAAGTACACTAGGAGCTGAGTAGCATAATTTAGTTTTTCTATATGCATATTCTAAGCACTATGTACTAATGGATATGAAGATAATTTGAATTCTCTGTTATATTGTTCTTCCATATATTTTGGATTTGTTTTCACTGTTAGTTTTTTCTTTTAGCTTCTGCCTTTAAATGATCTTCATGAATATCTGTTCGCTGTTGGAAGGATGATTTTCTTTTCTTTTTTAAAATTTTATTTATTTATGCATCTTTTTATGTCAGTGATAGAATAAAGGCTATAAATAATATGTTTGTGGTAAGTCCTTTTAAAGAACTCGGCACAGTGTCTTTTGTAAAAAATCTTTTCCTGCAGCAGGACACTGGAGATATCTGAAGGAGTACTGAGGGAGACAGAATCACAGCCTCTAAGACTGATCAAACAGTGGAACAGGTTATTCAGAGAAGTGGCGAGGTCTTCATCCTTGAGGACATTAAAAATCTGACCGGGAATCCTACAGCTGTGGGTGCTGCCACTGCTTTGAGCAGTGGATTGCAGTGGGCAGTCTCCAGAGGTGCTGTCTAACTTTAAATATTCGGTGACTGCAACCACAGCGAGCCAAGAAAATGGCACTTTTGTCATGTGCACAGTGCAGAGAGCTCTGTTTTCATGCTGAGGAAAATGCTAGTATGCTCCCACCCTCTAACCAGAAAGGAGGAGAGTAGCCCAGGATGGACAGGAGAAGGGAGCTGGAGGAGCCATGGCTGTGCTTCTGGAATGCCAAAGTAACAACTGAATGTTCAAATCTCAGCTGCCTCTTTTCCACAGGTCTCTGTGGTTAAAACACTTTTAAAAGCTGACCTTATGGATCAGCAAGAGATGATCTGTATTATGACCCTCACTTCCTTAATCTACTTACCCTTTTTCCTCTGGGAGCACTGAAAGGATAGCACACTATGTGCTATATTTCTCTCTCTGAAAAATTCCCTTTACTTAGAGAGAAGATGAAATATTTCTGCTTTTCTTTCATCTTCTAGCACCAGTATCCCTTTCTGCTTCTTTCATCCCTCAAAGTGTCTCTCTTCCTCCTAGAGTGCTTGAAAGAAAACACCTACCTCATTCAGTTATTATCTAATCTAGGGGCCCTTCCCTACTTCCAAGAACCCCCTCCTTTCTTTTTCCACTTACCTCATTAGTGAACTCAGTCTCCACAGGCTTTCCTATCCACTGTGAATGCTGCTGTTATCATTCTTGTCTAGTGAAGGGGAAAAAAACAAAAAAAAAAAAACCAAGGATGCTATTCCTGCACTGGGAAGTACTCCAAATTATGGATTTCCTTAGCAAAACTCTTGAAACTCTATTCCACCTCCTTACCTCCCACACTGGGCACACTGAAAATCTTTGTAAAATAAATTTTTTTAGAGGAAATAATCTCAGCCTAGACACAATGATAAAAACATGTTTTACTTATGTAAGTAAACTATGACATATGTTCAAACTGTCTCTGTCACTGTCTTGCTGCTGTAGCTGTTATTATTGATACTTTCCAAAAAACCTTGTGCTCATTTTCCTGTAACTTTTTTTTTTGTCTGAGACTCGCTTTCTCCTAGTCTTTCTGATGAAAGCAATATTCTTAGCATTGCCTTAAATAACAGTATGTGATTTTAGATTATTCTTACTGTAGGTGGTGTCATGCATTTCAAAAAACACACTATTTTTAAAATGAAAATCCAAATTCTCCCAGCACAGTGCAGTACAGATATTTGGGTTACAATTTGTACAGGCACATTATTTGAAGAAAACCCACCCTGGTGTAGTTTCAGAGGCAAACTGCAGAATCCTGTACTGAATCTCAAATAGGGTGTAAATGTATGAGTGGTACCCAATAGCCAGTGTTGCTTCTTGCACCCAAAATATACTTCTCCAAATCTGCTCAGTAGAACTTATTCCTGGAGGTTTGTCACCAACTCTGGTGCTTAGAAGCTGTCTCCTAAGTGTGCTGGTTTCTAGGAGCAGGCAGCTAGGTTACACCAAGGTACTGAGCAGTTCAGATGTATATTTTTGTCTCAAATGTTCTTGGTCTCTTCTCCCAGGCAGCTAGCAATAGCACAAGGGCAAACAGCTTCAAGTTGTGCCAGATGAGGTTCAGGATGGATATTAGAAAAACAATTTTCACTGAAAGCATGGTTAAACATTGGAAAAGGCTGTCCAAGGCAGTGGTGGAGTCACCGTCCCTGGATGTGTTCAAGAAATGAGTGATATGTTTTCAGTGTCATGGTGGAATTATGTCAACAGTTGGAGTTAATAGTTTTGGAGGTCTTTTCCAACCTTAATAATTCTATGATTCATTTGAAACCTGAGAGAAAGTGAGCAGACTTGACTTTATAGTTTTTTGGAGCAGTTGCCTAGGAAGGAGCCATAGTTTTTGAATTAAAACAAGTTAGATTGGAATACATAAATTGTGCATCGAGACAATGGACTTTCAAGGGTAACAGGAAGTGGACTTAAGTTCTGCTTTCTGCACCATTTCTGGGGATGTTCTTTTCTATTTTTCATTGGCAAAACCACAATTATTCCAGTCCTCAGTGGTTCACAATTTTTCACTCAGTGTCATCCATTACAGTCAGTCTTTGCAAATTTGAACTGTTATTCACACTTAATTTTCTTCTAGGTGGTGGGAAACAGAATATTACTGTTCTTCTCCAGTAACATACTTCATGTTGATTTAAATAATCTTAGCATATCTATATTTTTTCCCTTTCTTTTTTCTTTTTCCATTACCCACCAAGTCTCAGTATCAAGCCTATTCTGTACTGATAGCTTTGAACAGTAGCTTTATCTGGGCAGTGGGGAATCTAGCTGTTCTTGCCTAATTTCAGTTTCATTTTTGAAAATAAAATTTTCAGTTTGTCCTGCTTTCTTACACATGCTATCTTCTTGGGGGATAAATAAATTCCATTCTCTCTAGTGCTTATATAGTTGACTGGGCAGTAAATAATACTTTATCACTTTCCAACATATTTTCTCTGTAAGTCTTTGTTCCACCAGAAAGAGGAGGAGACATATTTAAAATTAATGAAAAGCATTCGAAAGATACTTTCTTGAAGTACAGGAAAATAAGGGGAGAAAAAAAAAAGAGACAGCTGTCTTAGGAAATGGAGCTCTCAGGTTCTAATAGAATAAAAATTATTGAAGCCTAGTCCAGTTAATAAACCAATTAGGTTTTTAACAATTTCGTTTTCAATTTTGAAAGTTTTGTGAGTTTTAATGTTTCTGCATGTCTTTAATTAATAAAAAAATAGGATTATCAGTTGAGAAGAGGTTGATCCCTTACTAGTGCAAAAAGAAAAATGTCTTTGTTTTTCTCAGAATTTCAAAACTTTCCAGATTTAGTTTAATAAAATCACACCTTTTCAATATTGTTTACTGAGGAGCCACAAGAGCATGTGGATTCTTAACAGTGAAAGGATGGCTCTGTGTTCAAAGATAATCTACATAGCTTTTTACAAAACAGGAAAATTACAATAAACTTCTTCATGCAAGTTGCTAAAACAATCTCATCAGCAAGAATTTTTATTGACATGGAAGGAATGAAGAGGAAAATTACAGAAATGAAGATGCACATCTAAATATATTGCAGTTTAAAACATTTCAATTTGCATGCAAATTGGAAATTAAATAGAAAAATTATAAGAAAATTAATGTGTAAGTCCTTTTATAAATTAAGAGAATGTACAAAAAGCTGAAGCACATTTTGCATGTGTCTCTGCTACTCTTTTGGCATACATAGTATGATTTTTTACTACCACTCTTCAATTAATAAAAGGTAAAAGAGTTTAGATTTAATTCCAATAGGACATATAATGCAGTACATCACAATATTATTGCAGAGCAGTTATTAACATTAATCATCATGTATATATTCTCCTTGATTTATTAAGCAGAAAGATGAAAGGAAAAAAATTAATTTGAGGAACAAGGTCAATTTAAAAAAAATAAAATCTGCTTTTGGAAAAAAAATTCGGCTGCATAAATATTAATCACATTTAGTTTTAAACGTGACTGCAAATTACAGTAGATAAATTACATTGCCACTGGAAATTACATAATGATAGCTGTTATGCAAGGGAATGCCTGTGTTACTGTATTAAAAATGATACTGCACTCTGCCTGCTTTTATCTATCTATCATTAAAATTTATGTCTATTGGCCCAGCCACTCATAACAAACTCTCTTATTTTTGGATTAAATACTAATTTGTTATGGCAAAATGAGTGCTCCTATGCAGTCTTTTAAGTCTATTGGAAATTTTTATTTACAAGTGCTGAAAAATAATTGAACATAAAAATTATTAATCCCCTCCAGAGAAAGAAAATATTTTTAACATTTCTTCACAAAGTCACTTTTTTTGATTATACATATGATGATCTTATTGATATCTAGAAGAAGCATGCATGTGAGAAGGACAAAACCACTTCAAGCTGATTGGCAAGATTTCATTATGGGATTTCATTATGAGAGTTTTAGGTTCATGTGTAGTTAGCAAACTACCCAAAATATAAATTAATTTACCGTGGATTAATATTTGCAGCAACAATATGATGATCATCATGCTTTATATGAATGTCCAAACATCTAACTCTCCTTTAGGTCTTCTGTATTTTTTCTTGTGGCTTTAACTAACTTTGGGCTACTCTTTAGTTACCTGTGTTACAACTGTAATAAGAAGAAACACATTTGTGAGGTTAAGTGAAGGGAAGAAACAATTAGAAAAACCCCAAAACATTAATGATGACAAAAACCATTTCCAAATATGCAGTCAATGCTGAAGTGGCAATAAAACACAGCAGAATTTCAAGCAGAGCTGGTTTTGCTGTTGGCTTTGCTGTTGGATTTTTGAAGGTTACCAAACTGCACGGGGAAGTTTGTTTAGTGCAGTGTGTGTGGGTGGGCTCTTACCCAGAAACCTCCACAGAAGTGCCTGGGTCTCATTGTGCACCATCCTGGTAACTTTGATCTATGAATTAGAAGGAGAATACTCTTGCAAAATGCTAGGAAAGGCAAGACCCCAAAGGCAAAGGAGAGAAAACCCTGAGGTTTCCAGTAGTAAATGTTAATTATAGAACTGTCAAGTGAGATTCCAAGTAAAAATGGGCAAGGACATCTGAAAAATAAATTCAACTGAAAACTAAGTGTGACATTATTACTTTTTCTTTACACAAAACCAGAAAAAAGTGTGGTTTTCTTTTCATAAATATGCCTGGCTACATGCTATGAAGTTCTCATGAGAAGCTTGCACTTTCAAAAGGAACTCTGGCACAAATGATCTATTCTTCTCTATAGCTGACAAAAATAGCTGTAACAAAACTGGAATACAAACAAATAACACCTAAAAATATGTAATGAGAAAGAAGAAACTGTAAACCAGAGCTGTGGATTGAATGTTACTTTGGAGACTTGAAGGGTTATCTAATATTTAGGAGTATGGAAATACACACTTTTAAATTTCATTAGCTACTTTCAAATACTCTACACACTCAACATTCCTTAAATGTTGATGAGACATTTTGATGTGTTAGTCCTTATAGTGATTGGATATTTGTCTGTATTTAATTTTTTATTTGTATTTAATTTTAAAGCAGTGACTAATTAGTAATTCTTGTAATATGTTATTGTCAAAATGTATCATGTTCATGGAGCAAATATATAAATTCGTTGCCATAAGGATTCTTGTCTTAACTTGGACTTATTTTTTATGTTATTAAAGGAGACTTTCCTGCTTAAAATTGTAACAGTACAAAATAAATGGATTGGTTCAGTGTCATGGTAAGATAATGAATGCATTTTATCTTTCTGTAGTATGCCAGCAATGAAGTATGTAACACAGCATGATGTTTGATATTTTCTAGCTATTTGTGTGGGTGGTATTGTTTTAAAACCAACTTAACACCTTTCAACAAAATATGTAGTAAATGCTCTTAACTCTTCTAGCTTGAAGTGTATTTGAAGCCTGTCTAATAGGAAGATTTTATGAGAATCTCATTGGACCTTAAAGTCCACTTCTTAGGACTAATAACAATAAGGGAAAACAGTAGAACTAAAGCCAATATTCAGCAGAACTAGTTCAGGGTTTTCTCCATCCAGATCCAAACATTTCTTAAGTTATTGCCTCCCAGATAATTCTGTCTTGGAAACATATATAACAATATACTGCAGGCAATGGAAATTAAACATACAAGTGGTCAAGCTTT